CAGGCGAGCAGCCCTTCTTGTGTTCTCAATGCGGACGCCGGTTCTCCTTCAAACAGTCGCTGGAGAGGCACAGGCAGACGCACAAGGCGGGGCGCAGGTATGAGTGCCTGATCTGCGGGGAGTTCTTTAAGTCGCTGGTGGATCAGAGGGAGCACAAGAGCACCCACATGGAGAACGGCGAGTATCTGTGTTCAGAGTGTGGCCGGGCGTTTGCCTGGAAGTCTGCACTTGTAAGACACCTAAAAACGCACGGCGAGGATGCTGACAAGGTGGAGCACTCTTACAAATGCCCTCGCTGTGACCTGGGCTTCAGATGTGCCAGCTACCTCAACAGGCACCTCCAAACTCACCAGGAAGAAAGAGTGCACACCTGCAACTGCGGAAAGAGCTTCGCCTACCGGGCAGCTCTCACCGCACATCAGCGCATCCATCAAAAGGAGCGGCCGCACATATGCACACAGTGTGGCAAGGGATTTCTCTACAATGGTGGTTTGCTGAGCCACATGAAGATCCACTCAGAAGAAATGCCCTTCATGTGTTCTTTCTGTGGCAAAAGCTTCAAGAGGGAACGGAACATGAAGAAGCACGAGCGGTGCCACACCAGGGAAAACGTTTTCAGCTGCTCGCAGTGTGACAAGAGCTTTGTCTATAAGGCGACGTTGATAAGACACGAGCTGACTCATTCAGGCGAGCGGCCATTCCTCTGCTCTGACTGCGGGAAGGGCTTCTTTTCCCACGCCGAGCTTCTGAAGCACGAACGTTTCCACACGGGCCACAAGCCCTTTCAGTGCCCCCACTGTGGCAAGAGATTCACTCAGTCGTGCTACCTGACCATACATCTGCGCTACCACACCGGAGTCCGGCCGTACTCGTGCACCGATTGTGACAAGAGCTTCCTCAGTGCCAACCGCCTGAAGAGGCACCAGCGAACACATTCAGGGGAAAAACCATACCCCTGTGTCGAGTGTGGGAAGGGGTTCAGACAGTCGTACAATCTCAAAATGCATCAACGGACACATAGCATGAAGTTAACATAGTCAAGGTTTTTAATTTGAGATGTAATATTTTGAAGGGTATATATAGCTTGACGCTAGATTAGAATAGGACAAAAAGTAACTGTTCTTAGATTATGACTTTATATTGTTTAGAAAATGATTTCTAGCTACAGCTCTGGAAACAATTAAGAGAACACTGCAGCATTATCAGTTTCTCTGGTTTTACTATTTATAGTAAATTATTATTATTTGATTCATGAACTACTGACAACATTTCTGTGTTGGAATTCAACAGACACTGGAATGGAATGGTTGCCATATATGTAGAGATTGAGATTTAAGAAAAATGTAGAGGGGTGTTTCAATCTTTCACTGAGCTGTAGATTGAAGCACACTGAGCAGAGGAATGTGTTATTTTTAGTTGCATTGTGGTGTAGCTAATCTGTCCAATCATTTTGAGTCAGTCATCAAATAACGAACGGAATAAAGTTTTACATAAATCCAATCTTTATTGTGAGCATGTTTTACAAAAAAAAAAAAAGAAACACTGCTTTGGAAAAGAAGCTTCAAACATAATGGGCTTTAACACATCACAACCATCGCAAAAGTGGTTTAGTTCAGCAACACACAAACATACTGCAGGTTACTGGCATGGAGGCTTGTTTGTAGCCAGTTACGGGTCACTGTTGAAAAACTGTTTTGTCTTTTACTCTATTTATGCTCGCTTCAAAGGTTTTTGTTTTCCACTATTCGCATTTAGCTTCTTGGTAAAGCAACGCCGAACACTCCTTGACAAACTGGAGACCCTCTAAACCTTTTATCAGTAACCAAACCGGAACGCGCTTTGTCAATGGTTAGGTGTTTTGTTTTAATGACAGGATAAATGGGCGTTCTGCTTTGGAGTCATTATTTGAAGGTTTCATGTGAAAACTTTGATTTAAAAGTACTACACATCTAAGCTCCTGCCTAGCCTACTGACATAGTGAGTTTTGACAGCACATGTAAGAACACCTCACTCTATCAAACACTGGTATACGATTCTGAATGGCAGTAGTAAGAAAACGGTAAAGGTCATGTAAAACTTTGAGCTACACAGCTATGTGCAGGCTGATGGGGCAGTGGTCGCTTCCCAAGGCCTTGTTGCGGATCTTGCAGTCGCACAGGCCCGGCAGCAGGCTGGACGACAGGACGAAGTAATCGAGCCTCCAGCCCACGTTCTTGGAGCGGGAGTTCATCATGTAGGTCCAGAAGGTGTAGGCGTTGGTCTGCTCCGGGTAGAGCTCGCGGAAGCTGTCGGTGAAACCGGACTCTAGCAGTTTGGTGAAGCCTTCGCGCTCATCAGGGGTGAAGCCTGCGCTTTTCTTGTTCCCCTTGGGGTTCTTCAGGTCGATCTCCTGGTGTGCGACATTAAGGTCACCACACAGCACCAGGGGCTTCTGTATGTCCAGCTCGCTCAGGTACGCCCGGAAGTCCACGTCCCAGGTTTTGCGGTAATCTAGGCGCACAAGACCTCTGCCGGAGTTTGGCACATAGGTGGTCACCAGGTAAAAGGTGGGGAACTCGGCAGTGATGACACGGCCCTCCTTGTCATGCTCTTCTTTACCTGGAGAAAGGTAGAGAAGGTTCAGTTTAAGTTGTATTCAGTTCCAGTAATACAAAAGTGCAAAGGCAACAAGTTTGAATTTTACATGGATTATGTGCAGCATGTTGAAGCAGTTGCATCACAACCAGTGGAGACCAGGGCTGCTCGATTATGGCAAAAATCATAATCTCGATTATTTGAGTCAATTGATATCACGATTATCCATTTACTTTGAAAACATCAATTTATTGGAGAAAAAAAATGTGAACAGTATGTTTTTAACAGTTGATTAGCCTGACCTTTAAGCATAACTCAACTGGAAAACCAATAAAAAAAAAAAATCGTTTTATTTCGATTACGTTGTTTTTGTAATCGTTGCAAGCCATAATCGTAATTGCGATTAAAATACGATTAATTGAGCAGCCCTAGTGGAGACTTAAAGAAATGACTGCCCCCAGTTTGTAGCTCAGTTAAAATGATGCCCTGCATTTGAAAGATTATTAAAAGCCCATGGTTCATATGTTTAAATGAAAACAGTTAAAGACACCACTCACCAATGCCATAGGTGACCTTGATGGGTTCAGTCTTGCAGAGCATGGCCACACCACTGTAACCCTCCTTTTCATCGGACGCTGCCCAGTATTTGTAAGGATACTCGGGCATGGAGGTGATGGCTGCAGGGAGGGATTTTTCTGCACACTTTGTCTCCTGCAGACACAAAACATCTGGAGACTCCTCACGCACCCACTGGAAGGGAGAACACAAGCATTTTCCATTAAAACCAATCTGAATACTTAACTCAGGAAATCCTTTATGTTGCTTATATTCATTGTTAACTCACATCCAGGCCATTCTTTTTCACCCATGCCCTCAGACCGTCAACGTTCCAGGAAGTGATCTTCATGTTGGCTTCACGTCCATCTTTGCAGGTCATTTTGTCCGGAGGATCCTCGTACAGTATCGGGGCCTCTGGCTCTTTCGCCTTCTTTGTTTTCTTTGCTGAAGCTATCAGGTGAAATAAAGACATAGGGTCAGGCCACATATTTAAGTCAGGACAATGTGTGTAAGGGTTTTAATGTAGAGAACAGCTGTAGTACCAGAGCCTGTGTCATTTTCCTCATCTGCAGCTGCATCCTCTGTCTTCTTTCCTCTCTTCATACTTGAATTGGCTCTGGCTCCAAACACACTTTGCAGACACACAACACGCACACACAACAGCACACGAGCCGCTGGAAAAACAAAACAGATTGTTATAGAAGTGGCAAATGCTACAACAACACACAAGTCAGAAACTCAACTGTCATCAAGGCCAACAAATCTGCAGGTTTAACTGTAGAGAAAGAAATAGCTTTTTTTGTTCTGTATCATTATGCTTCTGGTTGGGCAAAACAAGCAATTTGAGGATATTAATTTAAGGTTTAGAAGTGATGTTTCTTGGTAGAACCAGGAAACGTATCTTTAGGTTTATAGTTGGAAATGTAAAGTTTTTTAAATGAGAGATGTGCTTCACTGAGAACTCGTTTTTTTAATTTTTTGTTATGTATCAGACATTAAATACAACAACGCTTATATTGGTCAATATATCGGTCTGTTATTTTTTTTATAGTGACTCAAAGGAAATGGTAAAAAGTTTTCCAGTTATCAAATTACTTTAAGGAATATCAGCTTGAGTATCTTCAAATAATGCATGTCATATAATATAAGTGTTGTTTTCAGTGTCCTTGTATTACATAACGTTTCTGTTTACAAGTATGCATGTATTTACAAATATTGCGTCTCAGCCGCTTTCTACGGTCTGCAGTAAACTCTGACAAAGGGTTTGAGCATACAGCAAACGCACTAAATAGAAAATATGAACTTATTTGCTAACTGCTGAATGCAAAATTAATAGTATGCATGTAAAAGACATACATGCAAACAAAAATAGCTGAAATGTTTGCGTGTTAAATGGAAGGTATGCTAACGCTAGCTGCTCTGTGACAAAGAGCAGCAGACGGCCTGCTGAATGAATAACCAAGGTAGCTACTTATTTAATTTATCTCCAAATGCAAATGCGGTTAAATTACGCAAACGTTTTCATTTCAAGCCGCTACACGTTCCAGGAAAATGAAATGCAAATAATCTTACTTGCACTTTCTCAACAGGATGCAAAAGACAAAGTGCTTCTTCTTCTTCTCCTCCAACACACACACGCTCACAAAGCACACCGATGATTTCCGACCACGCGCTGTCTTTGCTCATTGTGCCTGATTATAAATGACAAAACACGTTTTTTTCCCACTGTGTTTTATTTTTGAATCGACAAAACTACACAATTACGACTGTTTTATTACATATAACATAATTCTAAGATGCTGCTGAGGTAAAACATTATTCGGACACAGCTTTTTGGTCAGGCCATCTCTACAGCTTCCAATGTTTGGGACCCTCCAGATGAGTACTGAACATAAGTTCTTATAATACATCCAGGAGGTAAAAGAGTTATTATTAAAAAAGTAGGAACAAGTTGAATAAATGTGTACCACCGAAGAAGAGCAATAAGATAGGTATTTCTAATTGAATATTCAATGTAGAATTGAAGTACCGTGAAGCTAGTTGTGCTAGCTTCACGGTACTTCAATTCTACACTACTAGCTTCATGTGCTGCACACAGGTAGCCTTATTTTGGTTTAGGGTTAGCTTCATGTGGAAAGTATTTATGTATGTAACGTATAATGAGGCATTTTGTAGGCAAAGCATCTGCCATGAGGCTGATGTTGTATCCCGTTAGATATTTAAGTGTTTCACTCTTTAAAGTACCCCAGTGTAATCACATGCAAACCTTGCTAAATGAAGGTAAATGCCCTGAGAACACTCCACTGGGCATGGAACATATTGGACAATGCCTGGGTTTCGAACTGTCATGAAAAACAAAGCATTATTTGTTTTCATTTATTTCATGCTCTCTTGCAGCCTGTCCTTTTACTTCCCTGCTGTTTACTTCCCTGCTTTTGAAATTAGAAATGAGGGTCGAATGTTTTATTTACAACCATCAAGATAGCAGGCTGAGTATCTGTTATTTCTCCATCACCTAATTTTCTTGATTCTATTTTCTTGCAAAGAATGGGTTTTTAACAGAGATTAAATAATGTAATCTATTCCTCACTTCCATATAAAGACATAATGCATTACCCACCTCTACTCATTGCTATTCTATTTCCTGTAAATGTCTTTCAGCCGCCATGACTATAGTAATTGGATTTGAGGGAAGTGCCAATAAGATTGGCATTGGAATCATCAGGGATGGTGAAGTGCTGTCCAACCCGAGACGGACCTACATTACCCCCCCTGGTCAAGGCAAGTTGTCCCCTTCACTTTACCGGTGATATGTAAAAGTCTAACAATCTTGCATGTGAAGTAGGGCTGCACGATTTTGGGAAAAAATCTAATTGCGATTTTTCTGACAAATATTGCGATTGCGATTTCGAATTGCGATATTTGTTTGTTAATTTTTTAAGCGACCCAACGTAAGTTTATTGAAAAATGCGGCCATAACTCCAGCTAGGAAGGTTGTATCAACATGCTCCCGTCTCTAGCACCCCCGCAGCTCGAGCTACGAGTGAAAGAACTAAACTTACATGAAACTTCCGTTGGGTTGCTTTAAAGTCAAGCTTCAGTTTAAGACTCACCCTGTAATAGATGTAACACATGTGATGGAGCATTACTAACCTGACTCAGATGGTTTGTTTCACCAAACCATCTAGGAAAGCTCCATCGGAAGCCATTTGGAAAGGGCAGGCACTTTCACAAATACTTGGCAGGTGATTGGATCAATCTGTCTATCACCTTCTATCATGGGCCACTTCTGATTGGTTAACAATGGCTGGTACATGTGGAGCACAGCACTTCTGATTGGTGTGGATGACTGACACACAAGAATAAAAAAATAAATAATAATAAATAAAAAAAGGTTTAAAAAAATCGCAGGCTTTGCGATTTGATAATCGCATCATTTCAAATCGCGATTTCGATTTAAAATCGATTAATCGTTCAGCCCTAATGTGAAGTTAACAACCTGTTTTTTTTACCCATCAGGTTTCTTGCCGAGTGACACCGCCAGGCACCACCGTGCTGTCATTCTGACGGTCCTGAAGGAGGCGCTGGAGCAAGCAGGGCTGAAGCCTGCAGACATCGACTGTGTGGCGTTCACCAAAGGTAACATAACATGCTGGGTGTCTCACCTTGTGGGAGAATCCGATATGAACGTGTCACATGTTTGTCGGAACAATGATAACATGATTTCATTACGCTCAAAGTTTTGATTCATCAGGCTCCATACTGGTTTTGATTTAAAAAAATCCATGCCAGTGACATTACAAGAGAACGCACAATAGCTTGATGTATATTATTTTTCTAGATATTGAATGATATCACAATAGAAAACCCATTTCTATGCTATGTGCTACTCTCACCCACAGGTATTGGCTGAGAAAAAAAGAAAGTGGAAATGTTATTCAGGCTGGTGAAACATAGTATTTCATTATCTATAAAAGGTCTTATTATATTCCCGCAAGGCAACACCAAACTGACAGACGATATGATGTTTTCTCTCAAACCAGAATGTAACATCATCACTCCAACGTCAAAAATACCTCTCTTTTTCCTCCAACAAAGTTATATAATACAATTTAAATAAATAGTGCAATAACACGTAAATAGAATGATATATCATATACAAGAACAGAATGTAAATGTAATTATTATCATATTCTATTTACGTGTATATAGACTTCTTGCACTATTTTCTATTTGTATTTTTGTATTTTATTATATAACTATGATGCATTGTTGGAGGAGCGCGGGTCATAAGACTTTCATTGCCATTTCTACACTGAAGCTGATGTGCAGATTTTGACCTTAAACTTCACTACGTTTAAATTTACTTACGTTAGTCCTTTTCGTTCGTCTTCTACTTCAGGTTCCGTTCGGTAGTTGGGTCGTTCCTTCCCTTCCCTTTCGACGACGTTCGACCGAACGGCGAACCAACGACGGGG